CCTTATGAGGAACGGCTAAGGAGCTGGGAATGTTTAGCCTGGAGAAGAGGAGGTTAAGGGGTGATATGATAGCCATGTTCAAATATATAAAAGGATGTCACATAGAGGAGGGAGAAAGGTTGTTTTCTGCTGCTCCAGAGAAGCGAACACGGAGCAATGGATCCAAACTACAAGAAAGAAGATTCCACCTAAACATTAGGAAGAACTTCCTGACAGTAAGAGCTGTTTGACAGTGGAATTTGCAGCCAAGGAGTGTGGTGGAGTCTCCTTCTTTGGAGGTCTTTAAGCAGAGGCTTGACAACCATATGTCAGGAGTGCTCTGATGGTGTTTCCTGCTTGGCAGGGGGTTGGACTCGATGGCCCTTGTGGTCTCTTCCAACTCTATGATTCTATGATTCTATGAAGTTGTATTTGTATCGGTCAGTATGTCCTCTTAAACACAGTTTCAATAATCCAAAATTTGTTTCAATTTCAGTTACTTATCCTCCTTTTTTAATAAAGTTCAGTAAGATTGTTTCAATTTTCCATTGCTTTACTCCTTTTTAAATGCAGACGAAGACAATTGGAAACAATATATCCCTCTTATACTAGCTGTCACCAAACGTTATATTCGCCGTCATTGAGCCTTCCAAAGCCCGTCGGTTTTACTGGCAGCCCGTTTCCAGGTTCGGAACGGTGGTATTTTAACTTCCTCACTCACTCCTGCAGGAATATACAGTCCAAAGCCTCCCCCCTCTTCTCCTGCTTCCAAGGGGGGTTTAATATTTTTTACTGATAAGAATTTAGTCCTTTGCAATGGGCTTTCCGAGGCTTTAGCTTGTGGCTTCTTTGCCTCAGTCTTATTTACAAAGAGGGGAGGTGGACTTCCTGTTTTGAACCTCCCCCGTTTCGGTGCCAAATTAAAGCATTTAAAAATCCAATTCTTCACTCTACTCACGGGTAGTTGCTTTAAGATCAAATTGTCCACAGGAAAAAGTCAGCGCTCTCCGGCAACAGCTATGCAGCTTCACTTCGTGGAAGAAGCAGTCGATCCGAAGCACCGCGCCGCTCACCCACATTGCTCCGGATCCCCAAAATCGGGTTTCCCCGCGAGTAGGGGAGGCGCAAAAGGTGCCCGCTGGATCCCACGTTCACAGGCTTCAACCGCCTGTGATTTTTAGTGGGTCTCCGCCTTCGCCGTGGTGGCCAGACCCGAAATTCCACAAGGCAAATTCCTCCCAATCAGAGGAATTCCGCCATTGCCGGTGGCGCCAACCCGGAAGTCCTACTCAGAAGTAAGTTTCAATTAACAAGTTCTACTTAACTTGGTGGGAACTTACTATGCATAGTAAGTGCACTTAGGACACTAAACCATAATATCCCAGTCTACTCATGGAAGTCTCATTGAACTAAATAGGACTTAATTTGCAAGTAAGTGGCAATTTGCAAAGCTTATAACTTTTTTAAAAAAAAAGTAACACTGGAAAGAGATTAAGTTTTTGGCAATACTCACCCGCTGCAGCTTCAAGAAGAATTAAAAGGATTTTGGTGAAGCAAAGAAGAGGCACAACTTTCCAAATGCATATGAATTTGACTTCTGGTTACACAATCTTTGCTTACCCCTCCTCAAAGATGCTATCTAGGCCAACTGTTGAGACTGTTTATCAGGCTGCAACCCAAGGGAAGCATGTAGGACAGAAGAGAACTTGTGGACACGTTTTGAGATAGTACGATTTGAAGCAAGCCTTCCCCAATCTGGTGCCCTCCAGATGTTTTGGACTACAACTCCCATCTGGCTGTGCCGGATGGGACTGTTGGGAGTTGTAGTACAAAACATGGTGGTCACCAAGTTGGAAAAACAAAGTAATAGAAAAGATTATAAAGTAAGGATCTTAATTATGGGTTGGGGGGTTGTTCTTTTAATGGAAATTATCTAACTTCATCTGCCATTATATTTGATTTGACGGTCAAACTACTCAGGAAACAATGCCTTTGGAGACCTGGAAACTACAACTAATCCAGAATGCGGCAGAATGGGGACCTGATGATATACGAAGCATGCTATGGATTGGGACTCTGTGGCAGCTTTTTCTTCAAAAGAAAAGTATTATCAAAAACTAAATGATACAATAATTTGTATCTGTGCATACTAAAAGTATCTATGTCAAAAAACTGTATTCAATATATATAGCACCTTTTAAATTAATCCATAAAGCTGGATTGATTAAGCCAAGCCAATACAATGTTTTCTTTACATAAGCATTGTGTTTCAAGATTGTGAATGGGGAGTAGTGATGTACAAGTCTGGTATGCAGGCCTGGCCTGTCTCCAAAGGATGTTACCAAAATACCTTTTATTTCCATTTCAACAAGTTCAATTGGAGTAGGGAAAATCAGGTATACTGTAGGGCCTGTTCTAATGTCACTTGAACCAGCAGAAGTGGGGATATTTGTCACAGTTCTCTCATGCAATGCAATCCTAATCACATTTCATGGGGAGACTCCTTTACGAGTGTGCTTAGAATTGCAGGTTATAGTTAACTCCACTGGAGAGTTTTGTTCTCTAACCTGGAGAGTCTGTTCATGTGAGAAATTGCTGTGTTCACCTTTTTATTGGGAAAAGACACACACTGAAGTTCAAATCACAGTAATGCCCCAGAATATGCCAACTTCTTCTCATTTCTGGCAAGGACCTCATAATTTTCTCTGTCCAGGCATATAGTTTACATATGCAAAATGACTTCACATTAGCTTAATAGGTATTAGTTGGAAGAGAGGAGGCACTGTACAAGCTATCAGCTCCCTAAACATTCATCTGTTGGCTTTTTTTGCCAAACATGTGCAGCTCCCCAAGCATGTAGGTTTGTAGCAGTGCAGTTTTGTGCTGGCAGACATTCAGTCAGACCCCAACTCTTCAGTCAGTTCAGTCCTTTACTGACAGCTCCAAAACATTAAGGCAATTTCACTATATATAGACTTCCCCTGGATCCCTAGTAGAAGGTACAGGCTTCAAATGCAAAGCAAGTACAACTCACAGCATACATACAGCACAGAATTCAGTATTAATTTGCGAAGCAAGCAGGCAATGTACAGCCCCCTCTTAACAGACCTAAGAATGACCACATCCTTGGTCAGTTACCTGGTCACAGTGACCTACTTGGCTGGTTGCCAGGTCAGCGTTCTTCAGACACTAATCACAAGACCTGCAGGTGAAAGATAAGGGAAGCATGTGCACCAGATGGGCAGGGTATAAATAAATTATTATTATTATTATTATTATTATTATTATTATTATTATTACTACGGCAATTAAAGGAATCTCAACACCATCCTCTGATCAGCTTTCTGACCATAAGGCATGCTCACTGAATCAAAACACAAAAAGACCATATCAAATACTTGTCATCAACTGTTATAGTATTATCTTGAATAGAGTAGCTACACATGGGTTCACTGATTAGTTTATCACATGCCTACCACAAACGGACAGAGCCATCAGATGTCATTGTCTAATCATTGCCTCTCCCTTAGTCAGTTCATTAGGTAGAATTTGTGACTGTATTTGCCTGGGCTTCACCACCATTTTTGCAACATCCAGCTGGTTCCCTTCAATAGCACCTGCTTCATCCTTGAACATCCTTCCAAGCACATCCTTCAAGAGCTCCCTGGATTGTCTCTCCCCAACCAAGTAATATATTATTGGGTCAATGACATCTGTGTGAGCTACAGCAGATCTGATGAAGGGGGTCAGCATGGAGCCAAACATAAAGGGAGGGGGGACCCAGAAAGTTCACAATGCTAATGATCATTGGACCCTGATGAAGTAGAAGCGTCATTCCAGAAAGTAGGTCAGACAAAACCCAGAACAAGGATGATACAACAGCAGAAGAATATGCTGGTAGATGCATGAGTAACAGATGAAAGGTACGCCCACAGCCAATCATGAAACACTAAAAGTATTCCTATTCACGTTCCCAATGGGCAACCAGCTAATCCAATACAGTACTACCATATGAGGAGGGTGGGCAGGCTGCTGCATTTAATTGATGAAGCCATTAGCCTAAATAGGGCTATGCCTGCCCTACTCCCATTGGTCCACATGAGACTCTCTCTCTCTCTCTCTCTCTCACACACACACACTACCATAGATGCCAGGTAGCACCATGCTTTTCACCTTTGCAAGGGGTGCCCCTAGCAAGGGGGGAAACACTCCCATCAAAGCAACAGAGGAGAAAAATCATGCACTTCTCTGAATTTTGCAGTGCAGGTATAGTTCAAAACACATTACATAATGTACACAAAAATATATTCTATGAGAAAGCATGCATTTATAAGCATTTTTAGTTGAAATGAATAGGAAAACATAAGGCAATGCTTGTTTTAGGCAGGAAATCTGTACACAACGTGTATTTTAGGGAAACTGAGTACAAAAGTGCAGACAATTTAAATGTGAAATGTTTGTTTCTCTTGTTTTTAAGGGGACAGAAACAGAGTTAGGACTGAGCTATCTTATGAAACTGACACAGAACAGAAACAGGCTGACGTTGTTCATCCTTATTTGGAAATCATTGCTCTCCAGAAGCTTCTTAGTGCTTTATTATGTGCTGGGAACACATATCTCAGATTCTTTCAATTCCACGTTTCCCGTTTCCCTCAATGACAAAGCAAAGCAAAGGATGAATGGTGATTCTGAAAGCAGTAAGGAGAAATCAAAGCAACATAAGAAGAATAATGGATGTATAACCTAAACAGTCTATGAAGTACAATATTCTAAATGGAATAGCAAAGGAAATGAAGGAAGTGAGAGTGAGCAGTAACGGTCCCATAAAACATTATTGGCTGATCTTGTGAGCTGCAGCACATCTTGGTGAACCTAATCAATGTAGAAACAAGAAGAGCGATGATAAGGGCATTCTTGGTACAGATTATCCTGATAATTGTGGAGAAAACATTCATATGACAAAAGATGGCAAAATAGCTTTGCTCTTCCAGGCAACAAGCCAGAAGTGGGCCAGAGCAGCCATGAAGGCAAAGCAGAAATGTATTCTGACTGGGCAAAACAATCCTAGATTGGAAAGCAAGCCACACTGGGCTGTCCAGTATAAGCAAACCAAAGGAGGTAAATACTGGCCTCTTTAGTGACAATGATCTTGTTGGTCATTTTTGAGAGTGCTCGGTGCCAAAAAAGGGAGTGACAGAAGCACAAAAGGGAAGAAGTTGAAGTCAACAACAGGCAAGTTCAGCAAGTTAGGCGATCGAGGGAGTACTTTTCTTGGTGCAGATGCACAAGGCATATGTACAGAAACCAGATGGCAATTCCAGTCTTCACCAATGGAAACAGAGGTGGATTTAGGAAAGCACAACCAGTTTGCCAGCACTGGGCATCAAGCCAAGAGGGCACTGTAAGGGGCAAGGATGACTTGGAACAGAAGATGAGAGGCAGAGGGAGCGAAAAATTTTGAGAATTGCACAGGGTGCCACTGAAATTTTAGACCCCAAAGTCCACCACTGCTAAGAACATGCACATAAAAATGCTGGTGTTGTGGAGGATTGGTAAATAACCACAAGTATTGTCATAGTACCATGTTCTCCATTGTTTCCTCCTCCCTTGAACATAAGGGGAAAGTGGCTTCTCTAAATCATGGTCTTCATGAAATTGCTGGTATTTCACTACAATTTGTAATTCATTACAGTGATACCTGAAGGACTTTTCAGGACTGGTCCTGAGACATTTTGCTGCTAGAGGCTATCCCCAGACACATCTGAGTTGGCATCTGAGAACATTGCACCCTTGCTTTAGGATCAACTCCATGCCTTTGTTTAAGGAACTTTTCCCAACCTGGTGCCCTCCAGATGTTTGGAACTACATCTCCCACTCCCATCCAGCACAACATGGTGGGAATTGTAGTCCAAAAAATCTGGATGACATCAGATTGGAGGAGGCTTGTTTGAAGTCATGCCATCTCAGAACTTGTGTACAATTTATCTTCCTCTCTCGACCCTGATAACTTTAGCCTGATAAACCGTTACAACAGTTGGCTGAGATACCATCATAGAGGAAGGGGCAGAGAAGACTGTGTAACGAAAGTTATTTCTTATATGCATTGGGAGTCTTGTGCCTCTTATATGAAGCTCTTCTTTATTTTGCCCAAAATGTTTTCCTGCATTGCAGGGGGTTGGAGTGAATGATCCTTAGGGTCCCTTTAGACTCGACAATCCTATATTTCTATTCTTCTTCTTGAAGCAGTAGCAGGTGAGTAGTGCTAATTTCTTTCCTGGGCTACCTATAACAAGTGAGTTAGAAGCTTTCCATACTGGAATTGTATAGGCACTTACTTTTAGTGATTATCCCTTCTGATCCTCATCCCTTCTGCTTGCAGACATAGTGCAGAGAACAGGGAAGAAGGAAGAATCCAAAAGAAAATATTTCATTATGGCTGAGCAGAGCACAGCAGCATCACTTGGTTTAACCATTGATGGGTTTTCTGGAGACTACAGCCCTTCAGCATTCCCAGAGGAAGATGATGATTCTGAACTTGCTTCCTTCACACATTACCTGTTTCTCTTTGCCTGTCTTTTCATTATTACCCTTGCAATATTCATATGTGGCCTGGTGGGGAATGCAATTGTCATCTGGTTTCTCTGCTTCATCGTGAAGAAGAATCCCATCACCACCTACATCTTGAACTTGGCTGTAGCTGATTCTTGTGTCCTTGTAACTTTAGCACTTGCAATTTCAGCTAGCTTTTGGGATGTAGGAGGAATTTCCTCTGGGCTGGGTATTGAACTGTTTATTTCCACACATGCCATTAGCTTATATCTACTGACAGCCATCAGTGCCGAGAAATGTCTCTCTGTTGTCTTCCCAATCTGGTATCGATGCCACCGTCTAGAACACCTGTCTGAAATTGTTTGTGCATTAATATGGGCAATGTCCATTCTGGTCTTTGGAATCTATCACTTTTTAATTTCGACTGAATCTGCAGACTTTGACATACTGATTTGTGTCGTTCATATGATCAACTCTGTATTTTGCACACTTGTTGTGGTCATCTGTACTGTGATCCTTTCCATCAAGGTCTGCTGCAGTTTACATCGACGCCAACGAGGAAAGTTTTACACAGCGCTCTTGCTTGCTCTTCTTTTCTTCCTCATTTTTGGTGTTCCACTCAGTGTCATAATAACTGTTCAATATCTTCTTGGTGATATTAATATAATAACGACATTATTTGGAGTAGTATCTGCTGTTATCAACAGCAGTGTTAATCCATTCATTTACTTCTTAATTGGAAGGAAAAAAGACGCATCGATCCAGGGAACCCTTGAAGGTGGTGCTGGAAAGAGTTTTTAGTGACAAAGCTGATTGCAGAGAAGATCACAGTCTTCCAGCCGCAACAGATTCAATGATGATGACTCCTTAAGTCTCTCCTTGTAAGCTAAGCTGTGGGGATGGCATTAGAGATGACCAACAATATAGGTTTATTCTTAAAAAAAGGTCTGTAGATTGGTGTTTTTCTGCTTCTTTTCTGCAACTTATAATCATGGGTGTTTATCTCTTAATGTTTGCTTCTTTAGTTTTTATACTTGTAATTTGCTTAGTAGCCAACATGAACATCAGATGGCATAAAAATTAATAAAGAAAAATTAATCATTCACCAAGTGGGATTTGTTCAAATACCAAGGGCTCCAAGGCTTCAAAGGCATAAGCAGGATTCTTTTCAACTCCATCCCTTTGGAAACTCTTCACACCCTTGGGGTGAAAGTGTGAATTTAACACACCTGGTCATTACGTGTGAAGCTTGAGCTGCTGAAAAAGCCCATCTGGTCTCCTGGCAGAACCTCCTGTATCTCCAATCCAACCTGGTTCCACCACAAATAATATTGTTACAGGTTTGTGGGGGAACAAGGTATCCCCAGATCCCTGTGTGTCAGATTCCCTCCTATATATTCCTGGATATGTTCTGGGAAGAGGAAAGAGAACAAAGGTGAGAACTACATGAGTGCAGGCTGCAACCTAGAGAATAGCTAGCATAGCTGACTGCTCTGGACTCAAGCTGACTGAAGCTATGAGAGAAGCAGCAAGAGACACTCTTGGGGAGGGAGGTTCTGCACTCCCTCCAACTAAGCTCAGGTGTAAATATGAGTAAAGAAACCACATTCCTTAAAGACTCTGCAGACTCCACTGCAGAAGAAGTTCCACTGTATCCTTTGGCTGTAATCCATTATCTTTGTGCTATGAAAACTTAAACTAGTTGATGTGTCCACATTGAACAACTTGTGCTCACACAACTACAGGGCCATCTGTTCTAAACTTTTCCAAATTTGCTGGCAACCTTAAATACAAGGGTAGTCAAGAAAAAAAGAACATCGTTACAATGATACCTGAAGGCCTTTTCAGGATTGGTCCTGAGACATTTTGCTGCTAGAGGCTGTCCTCAGACACATCTGAGTTGCCATCTAAGAACATTGCACCCTTGCTTTAGGATCAACTCCATGCCTTTGTTTAAGGAACTTTTCCCAACCTGGTGCCCTCCAGATGTTTGGAACTACATCTCCCACTCCCATCCAGCACAACATGGTGGGAGCTGTACTCCAAAAAATCTGGATGACATCAGATTGGAGGAGGCTTATTTGAAGTCATGCCATCTCAGAACTTGTGTACAATTTATCTTCCTCTCTCGACCCTGATAATTTTAGCCTGATAAACAGCTACAACAGTTGGCTGAGATACCATCATAGAGGAAGGGGCAGAGAAGACTGTGTAACCAGAGTTATTTCTTATATGCATTGGGAGTCTTGTGCCTCTTATATGAAGCTCTTCTTTATTTTGCCCAAAACTTTTTCCTGCATTGCAGGGGGTTGGAGTGAATGATCCTTAGGGTCCCTTCAGACTCGACAATTTTATATTTCTATTCTTCTTCTTGAAGCTGTAGCAGGTGAGTAGTGTTAATCTCTTTCCTGGGCTCCTATATAAAATGAGTTAGAAGCTTTCCATATTGGAATTGTGTAGGCACTTACTTTTAGTAATTATCCATTCTGATCCTCATCCCTTCTGCTTGCAGACATAGTGCAGAGAACGGGGAAGAAGGAAGAATCCAAAAGAAAATATTTCATTATGGCTAAGCAGAGCACAGCCACATCACTTGGTTTAACCATTGATGGGTTTTCTGGAGACTACAGCCCTTCAGCATTCCCAGAGGAAGATGCTGAATTTGAACATTCTTCCTTCACATATTACCTGCTGCTCTTTTTCTTTCTTTTCATCCTTACAATATTCATATGTGGCCTGGTGGGGAATGCAATTGTCATCTGGTTTCTCTGCTTCATCGTGAAGAAGAATCCCATCACCACCTACATCTTGAACTTGGCTGTAGCTGATTCTTGTGTCCTTGTATTTTTAGCATTTTCAATTTCAGCTAGATTTTGGGATGTAGGAGGAATTTCCTCTCAGCTGGGTTTTGAACTGTTTATTTCCACACATGCCATTAGCTTATATCTACTGACAGCCATCAGTGTCGAGAAATGTCTCTCTGTTGTCTTCCCAATCTGGTATCGATGCCACCGTCTAGAACACCTGTCTGAAATTGTTTGTGCATTAATATGGGCAATGTCCATTCTGGTCTTTGGAATCTATCACTTTTTCATTTTAACCCAATATGCAGACTTTGACATAGTGATTTGTGTCGTTCATATGATCAGCTCTGTATTTTGCACACTTGTTGTGGTCATCTGTACTGTGATCCTTTTCATCAAGGTCTGCTGCAGTTTACATCGACGCCAACGAGGAAAGTTCTACACAGCGCTCTTGCTTGCTCTTCTTTTCTTCCTCATTTTTGGTGTTCCACTCAGTGTCATAATAACTGTTCAATATCTTCTTGGTGATATTAATATAATAACGGCATTATTTGGAGTAGTATCTGCTGTTATCAACAGCAGTGTTAATCCATTCATTTACTTCTTAATTGGAAGGAAAAAGACGCATCGATCCAGGGAACCCTTGAAGGTGGTGCTGGAAAGAGTTTTTAGTGACAAAGCTGATTGCAGAGAAGATCAGAGTCTTCCAGCCGCAACAGATTCAATGATGATGACTCCTTAAGTCTCTCCTTGTAAGCTAAGCTGTGGGGATGGCATTAGAGATGACCAACAATATAGGTTTATTCTTAAAAAAAGGTCTGTAGATTCATGTTTTTCTGCTTCTTTTCTGCATCTTTTAATCATGCGTCTTTATCTCTTAATGTTTGCTTCTTTAGTTTTTATACTTGTAATTTGCTTAGTAGCTAACATGAACATCAGGTGGCATACAATTTAATAAAGAAAAATTAATCATTCACCAAGTGGGATTTGTTCAAATACCAAGGGCTCCAAGGCTTCAAAGGCATAAGCAGGATTCTTTTCAACTCCATCCCTTTGGAAGCTCTTCACACCCTTGGGGGGAAAGTGTGAATTTAACACACCTGGTCATTAGGTGTGAAGCTTGAGCTGCTGTAAAAGCCATCTGGTCCCCTGGCAAAACTTCCTGTATCTCCAATCCAACCTGGTTCCACCACAAGTAATATTGTTACAAGGTATCCCCAGATCCCTGTGTGTCAGATTCCCCCCTGTATATTCCTGGATATGTTCTGGGAAGAGGAAAGAGAACAAAGGTGAGCACTTCATGAGTGCAGGCTGCAACCTAGAGACTGGCGAGCATAGCTGACTGCTCTGGACTCAAGCTGACTGAAGCAGCAAGAGACACTCTTGGGGAGGAGGTCCTGAACTCCCTCCCTCAAAACTCAGGTGTAAATATGTGTAAATAAGCCATACTTCTTAATGACACTGCGGACTCCACAGGATTGGCAACAACAGGAGCAGACATGTTCTGTGCTTACAATAACATTTTATTACCTTGTCAACTGTGCTGTTTTAAATGTGCATTTTTTTAATTTGGCTTCTTCTAGTAATGTTTTCTTTTGAAATGTAATAGTTTCCTGGTAACTATATAATAGTTTCCTGGTAACTATTTTGCTTTGAATGTATATTTAACTTTCTTCAGTATTGTTTTATCCTGGATTTGATGCTCTAATGTGTTTTAAACCACACTGAGGTTTTTTAAAAAATATATACAGAGGCATAGTGATGAAATGAATAATAGCAATAATGGAAATTGCTGAATTGTAGACTCAGCTTGGCGATCCTTGTGGGCAACATAAAGTAAGCACCTTGGTAGCCACTTGGAGAAATGCCTTGGTTTCTTCTCTGCTGTCATGTATCCTGTCTTTTATATTCCTTCCTCTTGTTCTCCTAAAGTAGGCCACTGTTTATCTTACTAAATATATAGAGTGATGAGTTGTGCAGGCAGTGGAAAAAGGGCAGAATGGAGGCTATGAACTTTCCTTTCTTCAGAGAGCTAGATTGACTGGGGAAAACATGAGTCACGATCTTGCTTTGGGTCACTGGCCAACGTCATGTAACTCAAGGTTAAATATCATGGTGCACACAATATGCTGGAATATCTCATTTCTTCTCAAGTTAACTAATATATTGCATCAAATGTTACAGTTTAAGAGTGAAGTTGTTCCATCAATGTTTACTTGTTTGTTTTTAATTATTGTTTCTTTTTATGTTTTTAGTTATTCTTGTTTTTATCTGTATGCTATCTTGAGTCCCTGTCAGGGCAAAGGCAGGATTTAAATAAAATTATTACTGTTGTGGTGGTGGTGGTGATTGTGGTTGTGGTTGTTGTTAAACCTCTACCTAAACAATCTTTTAAAATATATATTTTTTAAAAAATTGTCCAGTAGCACCTTAGAGACCAACTAAGTTTGTTCTTGGTATAAGCTTTCGTGTGCATGCATAGACACAAAAGCTTATACCAAGAACAAACGTAGTTGGTCTCTAAGGTGCTACTGGACATTTTAAATATATATATATATAGTGCATCAGACCAACATGGCTACCTGCACCGTCAAAGGCACACACACTGAACATGAGAACTAAGCATCACTCCTTCCTGTACAAATGGGTACATTTTCAAAGAGAAAGAAACAGTTGGAACAGAGAAAGCAATCAATATTGACTAGCTTTAGTCTTTCATTTCATTACCTATTTATTGACATTGTCAAAAGGCTTAAAAGCTGCTAACCATGAATGGGATGGGGCAGCTCTGGGATCATAAAAAGCAACATGATATTCAGTAGTACACCAAAGAATACAAAAGGCAAACCTTTTACATCTAATAATAAGCTGATGCTATGACAGGCAAATGAGTGGCAAGGGGGGTCATGGTTGTTGGCTCGCCTGGACAGGAGCAGAAGAAACTGTGGATCTGGCTGTGGTACATCATCAGGTCAGTCCTCCTCAAAGTCTTTGGACTTTCAAATTTCACTGGCACCCTCTGCAAGGCAAAAAATTGGCGCCCTGCAACTCTTGCCTTCCATTCAGTACATGCACTATGTCAGAGTGGTGATGCCTTCCATTGACCCCAGTGCAGTGGAAGAAGAAGAAGAAGAAGAAGAAGAAGAAGAAGAAGAAGAAGAAGAAGAATTTATACCTCGCCCATCTGGCTGGGTTTCCGCAGCCACTCTGGGTGGCTTCCAACAGAATATTAAAATACAATAATCTATTAAGCATTACAAGATTCCCTAAAAAGGGCTGCCTTCAGGTGTCTTCTAAAAGTCTGGTAGTTGTTTTTCTCTTTGACATCTGGTGGGAGGGCATTCCACAGGGCGGGTGCCACTACTGAGAAGGCCCTCTATCTGGTTCCCTGTAACTTGGCTTCTCGCAGCGAGGGAACTGCCAGAAGGCCCTCGGAGCTGGACCTCAGTGTCCGGGCAGAACGATGGAGGTGGATATGCTCCTTCAGGTATACTGAACCAAGGCCACACTGCTCTAAATCCACCTCCTCCAACCTCCTTGGCCACCTGCTTCCCACTTTAGAAGGCAACATGCAAGTTCATAGCAAGGGACAGCAGCTGCATATGCTATTGTTATTCTTCTGAATAACCTTATTCATTCATTGTCTTATTGAAGGCCCCAAGGTGACTTTGGAGAATTGCAAATAAAGCGGGAGGGATTCAGCTAGCAAACCCCACCATCAGAAGCCCTGAGCAAATATTCCACCACCACCCCTATGTGCTCACCAAAATTGGCCTGCAGGGGCTGGGATAAACCTTGCAATATGAAGTGTGGCAGAAGAGGGTGATCATTCTAACAAGCAAAAATGCTTAACTAGACAGAATGGATGCCTTAGTACAGGGGTCAGCAAGGCTTACTGGGCATGGGCCGGATCACTCCCATGGAGATCCTCCGTGGGCCGGGCCGGAGCAGCACAATGCCAAAAATCGCGTCTGCTCATGTCCGCGGTGCCGGAAGTTGCTTCTGCGCATGCCCAAATGCCGGAAATCGTGCCTATGAAGAAGCGATTTCCGGCGCCGTGGACATGCGCAGACACGATTTCTGGTGTCTGGGCATGCAAAGAAGTGATTTCGGAGCTGCGGGAAAGAGTCCCCATGCTGCACTGCGCTGGTTTAGTGCAGCACTTGCTGAGCGGGCGGCTCAGTTCGGGGGCAGCTCAGGGGCTAGCTAAGTGGCCTCCGTGGGCCGCTTCCAGCCCATAGGCCTTAGGTTGCTGACCCCTGCCTTAGTACATCACTGAATTCCTCCTAATCAAACGTTTCAAAGAACCCATGGCAGTGCCTAAAAGGACTACGTATGAAACGCTGTCAGGGACTGGTCTGAGGAGGAATGGTGGAGAACCCCCCCCCCCACTGCACTTCCCAGAGAAGAGGGAGACAGTATAGATTTAGAACAGTGGTTTGCAGAAGGTCACAGTTCAGAGGCTGCAGAGGGCAGAAGCTGGGAAATATTGAGAGAGGAGCAGGAGGAAGAAGAAGCACTAGGGTAGAAACAACTGACTCAGTGTCTTTGGAAAGCATGTCAGACCCCTCCCCTTATCCCAGGTCCTGGCAAGCATTGAGAGCATTGAGAGTAGTAGAAGAGAAGATTAAAGCCAGAAAGCACAGATCAGCCGGGGCAGGGATGACATATGATAGGAGAGATGGAGGTGGTGGGACTTTACATGGAGCAACGCCATTATCTAAGAGAGGTGACATTGCTATGTCTTCTACTGTGAATCTTGAATAAAAGACTTGGTAAGAACTCTTCTTTTTTATCTGCTTATTGGCTGTCACCCTGGGAGGGATCAAATTCCCTGTCTCCTGACAAACACATAGGCAGTAAAAACCCAGCAACCTCACAGCAAACTTCCCTTTGAGGAAAGGTTACAGCATCTGGGGCAAAAGAAAGTATTTCTTCACACAGACAAATCAATTCACACAGTGCATAGTTAAACTATTATTATTATATATTAAATTTGTACACTTCCCTATACCCGCAGGTCTCAGGGCGGTTCACAAGATACAATCACAATAAAAAAACACAAAATATATTATATAAACAAAAGGAACCCAATAACAGACATCCCATCCAATACGTTTTAAGAGGGTATTGTATGTGAATCAGCCAAAGGCCTGGTTAAACAGGAAAGTATTTGCCTGGTGCCTAAATGTGTATAAGGATGGGGCCAAGCAAACCTCCCTAGAAAGAGCATTCCACAAATGGGGGACCACTGCAGAAAAGGTCCGTTCTCGTGTTGCCACCCTTGAGACCTCTTTGTGGAGGAGGCACATGAAGGAGGGCCTCAGATGAGGATCTCAGGTTCCAGGTAGGTTCACATGGAGAGAGGTCATCCCTGAGTCATTGCAGTCCTGAGCAGTTTATTATGGGACTATGCTCCCACAAGAGGCAGTGATAGTCATCAACATGGCTGACTTTACTCCACACAGGGAGGTACCCTGAGGTTCCTGATGGCAATGGACTATGCTGCAGCAACTTTATCAATACTAAGCTAGAGAGAAGTAGCAGTTAAATCAGTATGGCAAGAGAAAAGCATTCCTTTGAGTTAATGAAGCTGTGGCTTTTTGTTGTGCCTATTGATTGCATCTTGCATCTTCATTCCTGGGTAAGGAGATTGAGCTTTATGGTATAGTCCACTATGAGCAATTATTCTTACATAGTCCAGGATCAAAGCATTTCCATTCAAGAACAATGCTGGCTTCGTCAGTTGATGGCTTGCGTTGAACAAGTTACTGCACTAAGTTTCTCTGCATCAGTCAACACGTTCTCTTGCAGAGGATAGTATTCATCCTGGAAGACCCTCCTGAAAATGACCTTCAGGGGTTCTGTAGAGGAACATTTGCCCCGTTTCCCCACCAAGTAATAAAGCACTGGTTTAATGCTGCCATTGACAGAGTAGAGGAGCTGTGAAAGTGCAATAAGAGTTTGTGAATGCTTAGGGGAGGATAGCAGAAATGCGATGCTCCATGGGCCATGGCAGAGAAGGAAAAACAGGAGGGAGAGAAGAATGGCGGTAGTCAGGCTTCCTGGTAGTCGGTGCTGAGAGTTGCAACACATTTTGGCCAGCAGGAGCAAAGTGAAGACAGCTAAAATTGGAGGCAAAACCCATATGACCACAATGAACATGTTCTTGACAACTGGGTATAATACCATATTATAGACCAGGTAAAATGAAATTTCCATTCCGCAGAACATGACACACAGGATCCAGACTAGCACGGATAGCCCAGACGAAAGGGATTGTGGTCGCCGATGTTGGTAGCAGCTCAGAAAAGAGACAGAGAGGCATCTTTCTATACTGATGATTGTATGGAAACAGAGACTGGCAGTATAGCAAAATTGGCATAAGTGCAACAGGGGTATTGCAGAAATGCGAACAGGGAGTGGTAATCCACAGAGGTCATCAGCGAACAAAAAGATAAGGGACAGAGACAAAAACATGAGCAGGCCAAAGTCGGCTGCAGTCAAATTCAGGATGTAGGTGGTGAAAGGATTTCTCTTAATATGGGAATCAAGGAGCCACAAAACATATCCATTCCCCAGCAACCCAAATATGCAGATAAGGATGGCAATGGGTTTAGTATAATAACCCAATTCAGAAAATGCATATCTGTAGATTTCTTCTTCGAAACATTTTGCACGAAGTTGCTCTCCGTACATTTCATATGTGTTTTCAGTGTCCATGGTGAAAATGTTGCTGCCCCACTCACTGCTGCTCATAATACTCCACACCGTTTTCTGTTCTGTTGGAGAGTGGAAACAGAGGGGAATTAGTCACTCTGGTTGAGCTGAACTACAGAAGTATTTGAACATTTCATATTGACACTTTTGCTATTTTATAAGGCGAGGCAACCGAAAGCTAGCATGAACGGGTGACATTAGAAGCTCCAGATATGGCTTTGCATGAGAATTCCAAAAAAACCCTAAACAATCAGCAAAGTTTTGAAATCAGTGATTAAAATCAGCAAAGTTTTGAAATCAGTGGTTAAAATCAGTGAAGTTTTGAAAGTTTCAGTCTGCCATCTTGATTCATAATGACATCCAGCTGTATTAAAACATAGATAAACCCTGTACCTTGAGCTCAGGAGCCATCATGCAAAATAAGAATGCAATATCTCAGTAGGTGCCCAAACACAGAGTAAACAAACAATCATCCAAAATAGTACATTTTCCAGCTGAATTCCAGCATTACCATTACTATTATTGTAACTGGTTAAAAGGACTTTATAAGAGATTTTATATAGAAACAGGAGAAATATCAATTTGGATTACTAGAAGGATGTTAGAAGAGTCGTTTTGTGCTGTCTGAGTAACTAAACATTAAAGGCTGGACTCTAGAGGGAAATTTGGGCAAAGTTACAGCCTACAGAGGGGACAAAACTATTATGGAGTACATATGTTAAATACTTTGAATAACTGTTGTAACAGATAATTGTCAGATAGGGAGGCAGGAGTTCTTCTTTTTAATCATTTTTTCCTAGTCTTTTCTATTCTTTTAGTTATTTTTAATTTGTTCTTTCTCTTCCTTTTTTTTATTTAATTGTGTTTTGTAAGGATCATGGGTATTTTTGTTGTTGTTGTTGTTCTTTTTTTATACACTCCTTTTTAAATGCATTTGGGTTTTAATGCTCAAAATGTTATAAACCTTCCATAAAATTGTTTTAAAGATTACTGTTATTAATTCTACTGTTATTATGCATTCGGCGACTGATACTTAAGAGCAACACTTACATTACTAAAATATGGGGGCTGGGAGGTTAAGGCAGAAGAATGACGAGAATGAATGGAAGCAGAAGCTGAATCAGCCCACAGAGGAAGTGGTGGGAGAGGAACTGCTTTTACATCACACTCAGTCATTTAACAAATCTTGGAGCCTCATTGTGGTTAGCTAGAAACCACTAAAAACTTTTACAGTTTTGAATACTACTTTAAAAAATGAAAAGGAGTGAGTGTGGGGGAGAGAAATATCTTGACCTGGCCATGAAAAATATTGAGAACAGTACTAAAAAAACTTCTCCATGCTCCGAAGAGTGGCAGCCTCCTTTGGATCAGACTCTGTCCAGTGAAAGGGATTTGATTTATTCCTGTCCCTTCAAAGAGACACCTTCCTGCATTAGAGGTTGGAAGCAGAGGCTGGATGACCACCTATCAGCAATGATGTCCTGGTGGGACCCCAGCCTCAACAGAGGGCTGGATGAGTTTCCAGGCTCCTTCTCATATCACAATTCCGTATTCACAGAGGGCAACTCAGGATGCAAGCCGGAGTGACTTGACCCCCACCTAAATGCAAGGCATAGCCTGGATGGGGGGCAGGCTTTATGTGAGGGGGGCGCAGTTAAGTGCCCCCCCCCCGGCTACACCCATGGTTACCGATGGCCTCTGGAGTGCCTGCGTAAGGAGAGATTGAGAAACCAGAGAAGAGGTCCCCAGGAACATCACAGATCCCCTCCATAACCTGGAACTTTTAAAGGAGGACAAAGTGAGGAGATAGGAACACAAAACTCTTTTAAAAACAAACGAACAGGACAATCAAAACTTACAGATATAAAAGTTACAGACATAACTTACAGATCCTTTCTTTGTCCAGTCCCTCCTGGGGAACCTAAAGCTTCCAGCAAAACGCGCGATCTGGCTGGCTGGTAACAGTCCTTCCTTCCTCCTTCGGCGGGGGAATATTTTCTCCCTGCTTGCTTTCCTGTTATTCACACGCCCTTCTGATTCTCGCTCTCTCGCTCTTCTTCGTGGCTTCTTCTCGACTGGCGTCTCTCCAGCAGCTCTTTCCCTCCTCCTCCACCCCTTCTAGCCAGATCCGCCCTCTTCCCACGCACCCCACCCCTTCCCAGACTTCACAGATTCCTGAGAATCTCCGGGTGTTCATTCAGCCTAGGAAATCCCCAGTCCAGAGCAAGTACTGCTGTTTCTGAAGAAGAGAGGGCAGGAACTGCTTTCCCCTGGCTCTCGCTGCTGACTGATCTGAGAGCACATGTACAGAGTGTGCATGGTGAGCCTGGGAGGGAACTACACAGACTGCATTTTTTTAAAAAAGAGGTTTGAATGCTACTCTCAGTTAAAGAGGAAACTACAATTTGCAGAAGGAGCTGGTTATCTGTGGTGCTGATGTGCCAGAGACAGGCCACAGAGACTTTGCAAAGTCACCCAGCAGTCTTTCTGGTGAAGATTTTGATCTCCTGTCCACAGGAAACTTTGCATGGGGGAAGATTTTTTTTTATTTTTTAATGATATTTATTAAAATTTCACAAGAAAAAAATCACATTAATAAGAAAATTAACAATAAAAAGAAAAATACAAAATACAAAGTACAAAAAAGAAAAAGAAAAAACAGTTAAAAACAATTCCATCTTTTCATCACTTCTTTTACATTTACTTGTTTGCCGGACCTCCTCATACCTCCCTCTTTTGTATTCCAATTCAGTTTGTTAGTCCAGCAATTCCTTTCCCTCCTTTTTAATCCTGATCTTTAATCTTGATGTATTATAACATTAAATTTTTACCTATTAAAAACCAATTTTTCCAATTCTTTCAACCATTACTGCTAGAAACCGCTTAACTTCAATCCGTCATCATTCTAACATTCATTAATTTTACAATATTTCTGTAAGTAGTCTTTAAATTTCTTCCAATCTTCTTTCACCGACTCTTCTCCCTGGTCTCGGATTCTGCCAGTCATTTCCGCCAATTCCATATAGTCCATCATTTTCATCTGCCATTCCTCCAGTGTGGGTAGATCTTGTGTCTTCCAATACTTTGCAATAAGTATTCTTGCTGCTGTTGTAGCATACATAAAGAAAGTTCTGTCCTTCCTTAACACCGATTGGTCGACTATGCCCAGGAGAAAGGCCTCTGGTTTCTTCAAGAAGGTATACTTAAATACCTTTTTTAATTCATTATAAATCATCTCCCAGAAAACCTTAATCCTTGGGCACGTCCACCAAAGGTGAAAAAATGTACCTTCAGTTTCTTTACATTTCCAACATTTATTATCGGGCAGATGGTAGATTTTTGCAAGCTTGACTGGGGTTATGTACCACCTGTATATCATTTTCATAATATTCTCTCTTAAGGCATTACATGCCGTAAACTTCATACCTGTGGTCCATAACTGTTCCCAGTCAGCAAACATGATGTTATGTCCAACATCTTGTGCCCATTTAATCATAGCAGATTTCACCGTTTCATCCTGAGTATTCCATTTCAGCAGCAAGTTATACATTCTTGACAAATTCTTAGTTTTGGGTTCTAACAGTTCTGTTTCTAATTTTGATTTTTCCACCTGGAAGCCAATTTTCTTATCCAAATTGTATGCCTCCATTATCTGATAATAATGAAGCCAGTCTCACACTTTATTTTTTATTTTTTCAAAACTCTGCAGTTTCAATCTATCTCCATCTTGTTTTAAAATTTCCCAATATTTCAGCCATTTGACCTCCATATTGAGCTTTTTCAAGGCTTTCGCTTCCATCGGTGACAGCCACCTTGGGGTTTTATTTTCCAATAAGTCCTTATATCTTATCCAAACATTAAACAAAGCTTTCCTGACAATATGGTTTTTAAATGCTTTATGTGCTTTGACCTTATCATACCACAGATATGCATGCCATCCAAATACATTGTTAAAACCTTCTAGATCCAAAATGTCAGTGTTTTCAAGAAGCAGCCATTCTTTCAACCAGCAAAGCTGCTGATTCATAATAAAGTTTAAGGTCTGGCAGGGCAAATCCACCTCTTTCCTTTGCATCTGTTAGTATTTTAAATTTTATTCTGGGCTTCTTGCCCTGCCAGACAAATCTAGAAATATCTCTCTGCCACCTCTTGAAACAGTCCATTTTGTCCACAATTTGCAATGTTTGAAACAAAAACAACATTCTAGGCAATACATTCATTTTTACCGCAGCAATACGGCCCAGCAGTGAAAGCTTCAAATTTGACCAAATTTCTAAATCTTTTTTCACTTCAGCCCAACATTTTTCATAGTTATCTTTAAATAAATTCCCATTTTTTGCTGTCATATTAATCCCCAGGTATTTAACTTTCTTAACCACTGTTAAACCTGTCACATTCTGAAACCTCTCTCTCTCCATTGGTGTTAAATTTTTCTCTAAAACCTTAGTTTTTAACTTATTCAATTTAAACCCTGCAACTTGACCAAATTCTTGAATCAATTCTAAAACCCTTTGGTACTAGATTCTGGCTCCTGTAACGTCAATACTAAGTCATCTGCAAATGCTCTCAATTTGTACTGTTTGGCTCCGACCTGTATACCTTTAACCAACCGGTCCCTTCTAATCATGTTCAGCAAAACCTCCAGGACCGAAATAAAATGCAATGGGGAAATTGGGCAACCTTGTCATGTCCCTTTTTCTATCTTAAATTCTTCCGTCACCACATTATTTATAATTAATTTAGCCTTTTGTTCTGAGTAAATTGCACTTATACCGTTTTCAAAGCCTTGGCCTACCTCCATACCCTGTAGGTTCTTCTTCATAAAACTCCAAGAAATGTTGTCAAAAGCTTTCTCCGCGTCCACAAATATCAAAACTGCTTTAGTATTTATGTTCACTTCTAATTTTTCCAAAATATCGATTATATTCCTCAAATTGTCAGACAAGTGTCTTCCCGGGAGAAAGCCCGCTTGGTCTTTATGAATCTCTTCCATCAACACTTTTTTCAATCTCTTAGCCAAAATGTCTGCAAAAATTTTGTAATCCACATTAAGTAATGATATGGGGCAGTAGTTCTTAAGCTGCGTGCATGGGGGAAGATTTAACTCTTTGTGAACCCAGAGCTTACAAACGAAAAGAGTATTTTCTGTTTCTTCCAGCTGGCAGAGGATATAGAATCATAGAATTGTAGATTTGGAAAGAACCCAATGTCATCTAGTCCAACCCGCTGCAATGCAGGGGTCTCAACTGACAGTTACCATCTAACCTCTGCTTCAAAACCTCTAACGAAGGAGAGTCCACCACTTCCCAAGGGAGTCTGTTCTACTGTCAAACTACTGTCAGAAAGTTATTCCTGATGTTTAGTTAGAAGCTCCTTTCTTCTAACTTGTCCCCCCCCCCCAGACATGGAGTTGCCTTGTTGCAGGAATTTATGTACAGGTGTGTGGGGGGGTGCCCCTCCAGCAGATATCATGCACATGCAGCCCACTACCAAAATCAGCACAATCACTTTTGTGACTTTTGTGATTTGTCCCCACAAAACACTTCATCACAGTTTCATCCTATCTATTCAAAGGGCTTCTGCTGCACAATACCAAATGTAACAATTCACTGATAAATGTTTCTGTGTACTGGCTCACTGGGAAAACTTCAGAAATTCATATAGACATGTGAGCTCAGCTACTCAGCAGCCCCTCTGCCTGAGTGATAATTCCTAGCATCCTGATACCTGAGTGCCAGACAGGTAGCCATTCCAGAAATAACAAACCCAGATGAAGACAAAAGGGTGTGATTAACCTGGCCGGGAAACAGGGAAATGTAAATATCTCTTTTGTTACACTTGATGGGTATTTGATGGAGGGCAAGGGGAGGAATGGGGAAGGGTCCAGGATGCTCAGATTACTGCCACCAGACCTCCCCTTTCATGATGTAACCATGATGTATTAGTGATGCAGTTTGGGGGGGGGATGTAACAGCTAATAAAAGTTTGGGTGCTCTTTTGTTTGGGGCTTCCATCTTGTTCCACCTTGTGGCAGGTGGGAGTCCTGTCATGACAGTCTTCAGTAAAGACCAAGCCTACTGGCTGCTGTTTTGCTCTGGTATTCCTGGCCGGTGACCTTGTTTTTTGTCTGAACATGTAGGACCTACTTTCTGTACTTTATGAGGAGTCTAGATGCATCTTGGTTGGATGCCTACCTAACCCAACATCCTAAGTAAATGCCTACCTAACCCAACATCCTGCTCCTTCCCATGGCCAATCAGATGCCTGTGAGAAGCCCACAAACAGGGCATGAGCACAATAGTCCATCCATGCTGTTATTCCCCTGTTGGCAATCCTTTTTGGTAGACACATGCTTCACACACACATATTCTAGGAATCTCATGAATCATGACCTTTAGATAGTGGTAGCAGCATTTCTTGGCAAGCTTATCCAGGAAACGTTCTCTACTTCAGGCTCAGTTGTTTAGACCACAGCGCCACTCGCGTCCCACTCCAACAGGATAGAAAGTGGCAAAATGTCTCCCTTTTGCAAATTGTTTGGTTTGGGCTCTTGACTCAGTCATGATTTCAAAGGAGATCTACTCATTTATGCCTTTCTTCTGCAGCCTACAAAAGATGGTTTTTTGACTGGCTGTTCAAGAAGCCCTTGGCCACATCCTCCCTTTTCATGTAATCTGTGCAGGAGACCAGCCACATAGAAGCCAGGTTGTGATGCTGTGAAAGCTGCAGGTTTCCATTGCTAATTTGATGGCCTCTCAATTGTGAATTCAACAGCTAGGGCACTATAAACAGTCCAATAGTGCTGTGCTAAATAGATGGATGAACTTCTTTGATTTAATACTGCAAACCAAAAATAAATTCTTCAAGCTCACCATTATGTTGGAAAAGCTGTGGAGAATGAGGTTACTATTTTCATGTTTGGTGGGAGTGCACCCTGGTCCGCACCTTTTAGGGAAAATACTTTTATCTGACCTCCAAAATCACTAAACTATCTATCAGGTGCTTGCCTTACTATCATTAGATTTGACCACAAATTCTACCCTTAAATCAAAAGAATTAATTCCCTTCCTGTTAACAGCAGCTAGATTAGTTATTGTCCAATGGTGGAAGGAAAACTCTAATATACCAATAGAGGCTTGAATTAATAATATCTGGAACATTGCTCTTTCAGAATGCCTCTCATGCCATCGTCAAATAGTCAGAGGCAAAAAGAAGTCTTTGACACAATTTAGTCTCCATTTTTATTGAAGAAGAACAGGATAATTTTACGCCATCATCATCACAGAGGTGTCTGTGGAGGGGATATATTGATTGAAAATTTCTAGTAAACCCAGATCCATAGTTGGGTTCCTACTCAGAGTATTTGGCGAGTCAACATGACAGTGATGATGAATTGAGGATCGGAGTCATTGTTCTGTGGTATTATGGCAGTCAAGAAAACTGAAGTGTAACTTTTGGATAATTGTGTTTTTAATAAAATTAATTTTTAAAATACTGCAAACCAGTATCTCTGTGTGTCTGTCTGTGTGTGTGTGTGTGTGTGTGTGTGTGTGTTGAATCTGGCCATTCCTCTTCACCCAATTTTCTTTGACAGACATTAAAAAACCTAAAATGCAAACCTGAAGTATGTGTTTGCCAGTTGAATGCCATCCCACAGTTACAAAAAAATGATGGGAAATGGCATTCTTATAGTATATATAAAAAAGGGCACACCTAAAGAGCTGAATTTTCAAGTTGCCTAAATGGCTACGCTTTCCCTCATAAATAACCTGCAAGGTATTACCCAAAAGAGTGCAATTTTTTCACAGGAAGCAATTTCTTTCACACTGGGAACATTGTCAAAGCATCTAGGATAATGGAACATTATAGGCTGGTAGGAAGTTTCAACACGATATTATTACCATGTGCCACCCTCACTGAAATGAGAGAAAACATTTCACTGATATTCTCCATCCAGAATGAGAAGTTTCTTTTGAACTCTAGAAAGAGATTGTGAATAAGATTCTGACATTCTGAAGGGTGATTTCTCACACCTGCTTGATCCCAGCAGGGAAACCCAGCCAGTTGGATGGGGTATAAATAAATAAGTTTTCTGTTTTACAATTTAAAATACTCATTTTACATCCTTTTTTGCAATTGTTTTTATTGATTTTCATATTATATATTTATACAGTACATTCTTACAATATTAGTAACCTAAAACTCTCAGGATTACCACTTCCCTCTACCCCTCTTCTGGTTTTCTTGTTTCCACACTATAACATTTACACATTGATGTATATCAGCATACTGTTCATATCTATACGTGGTTCTTTCTATAATCTCATATAGAATGCTCCATACGTTGTAAGGTTTATCTCTGACCTGCCATTGTTTTTTATATGTAAACAGTGTTTCTCAAGGTAAGTTATAAATTTCTTAGTCTTTTTGGAACGTCTGGTCATCCTGCTCATGGATTCGTCCCATCAGCCTGGCTAATTCTGCGTACTCTACCATCTTTGTTTGCCATTCTTCGATAGTCAGCAGATCTTGATGTTTCCATCCTTGAGCTATCAAAACTCTGGCTGCCATTGTCGCATGCAGAAATAGTTTTCGTCTTCTTTTGGTATCTCATCCCCAACCATTCCTAAAAGAAATGCCTCCGGTCTTTTAGGGAAGGTATATCTAAACATTAGTAATGTATGGAAGTGAGAGCTGGACCATAAAGAAGGCTGATCACTGAAGAATGGATGCTTTTGAATTATGGTGCTGGAGGAGACACTTGAGAGTCCCATGGACTGCAAGAAGATCATACCTATCCGTTCTGAAGGAAATCAGCCCTGAGTGCTCCCTGGAAGGACAGATCCTGAAGCTCAGGCTCCAATACTTTGGCCACCTCATGAGAAGAGAAGACTCCCTGGAAAAGACCCTGATGTTGTGAAAGATGGAGGGCACAAGGAGAAGGGGACGACAGAGGACGGGATGGTTGGACAGTGTTCTCGAAGCTACCAGCATGAGTTTGATCAAACTGCGGGAGGCAGTGGAAGACAGGAGTGCCTGGCGTGCTCTGGTTCATGGGGTCACGAAGAGTCGGACACGACTAAATGACCAAACAACAACAACATATCTTAACCTCTTTTTTTAGTTCATTGTATATATATACATAATGAACATTTTACATCCTTAATATATCAATGACTTCCCTTCTTCTCTTTCATTGGTTCATTTTACATATTGTAAATCCCTGAGTATTTTACAAAAACTATACCATTCAGTATTCCATTATTGCACCCATCAAAACTTTTTTACACTGTTGAATCTATCTAAATGCTGCCAGTGTTGTCAGCTGTGCACAATTATTTCCCATATATTCAGTAAACGTTTTCCAATCTTCTTTAAACATATATTCTTCTTGTTCTCTTATTCTATGTGTTAGGTCTGTGAGTTGTGAATATTCTGTCAGCTCAAGTTGCCATTCTTCTTTGGTTGGAACCTCGCAGCTGGGGACTATGTCACACTTGTGTGCCCGTAGCTCTTACCATCACATCATAATTTCTCTTACTCTGTCCATCGTCTGGCCTGCCACTGAAGCATGGGTAGGCAAACTAAGGCCCCATGGGCTGGATCCGGCCCAATCGCCTACTAAATCCAGTCCACGGACAGTCTGGGAATCAGCATGTTTTTACATGAGTAGATGTGTCCTTTTATTTAAAATGCATCTCTGGGTTATTTGTGGGGCATAGGAATTCATTCATTCCCCCCCCCAAAAAAAATATAGTCTGCCCCCCACACACACAAGGTATGAGGGACAGTGGACCGGCCCCCTGCTGAAAAAGTTTGCTGACCCCTGCACTGAAGGGTATTAACCTCACAAAATCCTCACAAACTTCCCAGCCCTGTTCTTTTTCTCACACTGAGCAGATCAGTCAGCTCAGGCAGAGTGAGCACTTTAAACAAAATTCAGGACCACGGACAGCACCCATCAGGTCGCACTATTTTAAGGCCTCTTCCCATGTTGTACTGTAGGTATGGAGGGATATTTTTCCCCAGTTTAGAGCTGAAACTATCTCAAGACTTGCTAACGTTAGGCAGGCACACTCGTTATACTCTCATGGATGCCCGTGAAAAACTTTTTTTATGTCAGCAAGCCTATCCAGACATGTAAATTGCTATTTGCTTTTTCTTATTATTTTGCTGATTTTATCTGTTTGTTTGGTTTACAAGAAACATTTAAAAGCAAAAGGTTACAGTTAAGAAAAAGTAGTTAAAATGTTTAAACAACAATTAAAACCATCGGTAAATTTAAAAAAGAGATTAAAACTGAGATTAAGAAGGCAGCAGCCAAGAAAAAATGAAGAGGCTTCCCTTGTGATGAATCAAAAGCTTTGAGGAAAGTGATTGAAAATAAAACTGCTAACAGCATGATGCTGCTATACAATTTTACAGTGCTACCATATTTGGAATACTGTGCACATTTCTGGTTGTTTCACTTCAAAAAGGAGAGCTGGGGAAATTTCAGGAAAGGTTGAAGAAAAATGAAGAAAAAGGTCAGTAAGAGGGAACAGGATAGAGCTGCATAATTATGCATTACATGGATAACGTCAGTTGGATGTTGTTGTTGTTTTTTCTTGTAGTAGTAGAATTCAGGGGGATCCAATGAAATTGAATTTTGGAAAATTTAGGATAGAGAAAATAAAATACTGCCTCTGAATGTCTCTGAATACCAGTTGCAATGTAGCACTCAGTTCCTGCTTGAATGCTTCCCAGAAGCAGACAGCTTCTAGATGGACCTTTAGTCTAAATCAGCAGCCAGATGCTTCTTATGCACTAGTAATAATGAATATAGAGGAGAACTGTTGTGGAAACTGGGAAAGAAAGACAATAGAGCCAGGACCCAGACCGTGTGTTTCTTTCACTGATTTTATTCATGACACTCATGAGCCATCTGCTGGCAAGCTGGACTAATAGCACTTTGAAAAGGGAATTTCATTTTTTCCCCTTCTTGGCTGTTCTCTAGCAACATTTGCTAATAGCTAGAAACACACACCATTCAGGCAAAGCTACCTCTTCTTCTTGCAAGTGCATATCGTGAAGTCAGGCTCAACTTACCAATTTCACAGGAATGCTGGGTGTATGGAAGTGGAGAGAGAGAATGCCTGTTCAGGAAAATACAATTTTATAACACCCTTACATCCAGCACACAAGGTCAATGTAGGTAATCACATTTCTGATATTTCCTTCTAACCATTTGCAGAGCGGAAGCCATATTTGTGTGTTGTAGCTGAAACAACAAAAGTTATTGTGACCTCTTTAACGCAACCACATTTATTATGCCATGTAAGGTTTCACAGACTGTACAAGTTGGACAAGGTGCAGTCCCAAAAAGTTTATGCCATCCTAAATGTATCAAGCTTTAAAGTGTCACTCATAGAATGCATTTGGATTTGGCTATTATTGGACGCGGGTAGCACTGTGGGTTAAACCTCAGAGCCTAGGGCTTGCTGATCAGAAGGTCGGCAGTTCAAATCCCACGACAGGGTGAACTCCTGTTGCTCAGTCCCTACTCCTGCCCACCTAGCAGTTCAAAAGCATGTCAAAGTGCAAGTAGATAAATAGGTACCACTCCGGCGGGAAGGTAAACAGTGTTTCCATGTGCTGCTCTGGTTCACCAGAAGCAGCTTAGTCATGCTGGCCACACGACCCAGAAGTTGTACGCCGGCTCCCTTGGCCAATAAAGTGAGATGAGCGCCACAACCCCAGAGTCGTCTGAGACTGGACCTAATGGTTAGGGGTCCCTTTCCCTTATTATTGTGTTAGTCTTCCTGGTTAGAAGGCTAGTGCTTCTAACATTCCTTTGCATCACATTACCTGCTGCATTAAATAATTTTCCTTTTTTTGATATGTCCAAGCAGGTGGGTGTGATATGACACAACAGCAGATGTCATCGGACATGTCACCACCCTTTATGAGGATGTGTACTTCTGTTTCCCCATTACTGGCCCAAGAAAATAGTGGGGGAAACTGTATGCTAGAATACCAGCCCATATTTCATCACAATGGTGTGGTTTGTGAAAATGGAACAAAAATGTACAGCACAAAATTCCTGCAATTTTCCATGTTAATAGGGTTGCAAATTTATTATATTTTTTCTGGAAGCAATTATCACAGAATTGTGTACTAAACTTCCACTAGATTCTGCTAGATTTCCAAAAGTGGCTTTTATGTCATATGAAAGATCTTATAAAACACAGAAATTGTTAGGTAAGGAAACATTGGGGAAATGAAGAGATGTGCTGTCTGAATGCAGTCTTAGCTATTTCTAGGCTTTATAACCAACTCTGTTTAAACTTGTGAATAAGACAGATTCTTATTCATTAGCCTATAAAACCTCATCATATAAATAAAAGCTGTTAAAGAGTAACTTTGGTGGTCGTCATTATCTATCTGAATCCTAAATAATTTACTGCCTTTGACAGCCAAAATCTTGGGCAGAACAGGTTGCCAATCATTCGAGGACAGTGGACACATTTGGAGTTTTGAGCAAGTGACATGGATGCCACCCTCTTGTGTCTCCCTTCTCCTCTCCCTACAGAGAGACAGAAAAAAGACAAATTGCACATACAAACACACAACACTTTCCCAAGGCAACTGGGTAAAAGTTGGATTCAGCAGAATTAATCTGAGAAGCGCAAAGAGCTGAAAGGGGGTAGTGGGAAAGAGTTTCACTCTTCCAGCTTCCTTCTTCAGCTCCACATACTTGAAAAAGATGTCCACACTAACTATGGGAAAGCAGCTGACAATAAAATGATGGTGGTGGTGGTGGTCCCATGTGCATACCCAATGGAATTACCCAAAGCATTTACACACAGGAGTATTGGGTAGGAAAGCTTTCGTTGGACAGCACCATTTTGACGCAGTTTACTTGGGGCTTGCAAGTGGGGCTTGCAAGTTTGAATGCTTCCCTTGCCTTTTCCCTTTATATAAAAAGCTTGAATGTCAAGTAGACGTATTCAGCCTTGTCCTCTTCCTGACATCATGTTTTTTCTGTACAGAGGAGGTTTTCAGCCCACTCTTTCCACGAAGAGAACATTCAGACATATACTCTGACCAACTGCAAACTTGCTTCCAGCGCAGTTTAATTACTTGAGTTGCTTAAAGTACAAAATGACACCAGCTAAGACCCTGTCCTTGAATCCTCTCTTCTAAAGAGTAGTTTGCCTTGAAAAAAGCATTATTCTATCTATCAGCCAGCAAAATGAGTAATGGATATCAGCTGGTCCCTTTTCTAACCTGCAAAGCATTGCTTACTGTTGCTTCGTGCTATTTTTAGCTGCCCTTTCACTGAAGTTGCAGAGGAATTCGGTCTGGATTTACTGTACCAAGTTGACAACTGTGATTCTTTTCGCTTGCACAGGGAAGCATGTCTTTAACCAATGTATCTGAGCTAGGGACATACAAATATGTTTCCTTTTACTTCCATTTAATTTGGGCATATGTTTGTCCATGATTCTATTTTTTTTTTTTTTGTTTCCTATGTTAATCTCTTTCTGTGTGTGTATTCACATGCACACATTTTCCCACAGGCATCATTAAACTGTTCTTCTCATGGAAATTATAATTCAGTATTTTGCCACTTCCATATCATTTTACATGCATATGGGATAGATTCTGTTCTGGCTTCTTCTCAACCCATTCAATCAATATTCCTATGCCTTCCCCAGAAACAGAGGAGCCCTAACAATGGTGACTAGCTGTGTTGCAAGACAGCAGAGAACTAGTGATGGGTGGAGGGTATGAGATGTTTCACCCGTTCCATGTTCCAAATCCATACACACACCAGCATCCTGCCCATGGCTCACAAGAGCGCACACACACATCTGAAACTGAGTGAAGGGATAAGTCACTACTTCTAAAACTGCTTTTCATTTTTTAAAAATGCAATGCATAAGTACATTAGAAACTGGCTTATACCAACTCAGACCATTTGCTCATCTAGCTCAAAATTGACTACACTGACTTGCAGTGGTTCTCCAGGGTTTCATTTCCCTCTCAGCCCTACCTGGAGATGCCAGGGTTTGAACCTAGGACCTTCTGCATGCAGATAATTTGCTCTACCACTGAGCTACAGCCTTGTCTTCAAATACAGTCTGATTGTCCCCTTTTAACCTTTCTTCTTCTTTTTTACATTTCAGATTCACAACAAAAAATCGAGGAGGTCCCCTTGCCCAAAAGTGTCACTTCACCATTTCACTTTAGGTGTTCAGTTCTCCCATTAATATTCCTACCACAGAGGTAAATTTCCTGTTTAGATCCCTTATCTAATCATTCCCCCTGACCACACCCAAATCCTACCCACATGATTCTTCTGTAGGTATCCTGTTGTTATAGTTTGGGTCTTGTGATACTCCTATAGGTGAGCTGAGTGGTCACTCAACTCAACTTCCTCCAGGTCAACTTCTAGCATGGCTGCATCACACAACCATTTAAATAAGCACGAAGAAAGTTTTGAAGGACACCAAGACACATAGAAGAGTCCATAGAACAGTGGGCAACTGACATTTATTGCACAACACAGTTCTCCTATAAAACTGTAAAGCTGTTAACCATTTAGTAGAATGGCTATGGAGAAGTGTAATGTTGATGATCTTCAGGAAGTTGTAATTTTAACACTGTTCATTTTGAGGGATTAGGACTCAAAGGATTGGAGTTGAGCTAAAGTGGAACTAAGATCCAGCTTTACTCTTCATCCACCAGAATAATATCTCCCAGTGCCATCCTTCGTGAGGCTGGTCGCATTGCAAGGAGGTCCTCATCAATCTCATCCGGCTCTTCCCCTCTCCCCCTGTGCTTTTTGGCTACATTGTCCAGTAACTTGTTTGCATGGCTAAGAGTCTTCTGAGCTCGTTGGCCAGCTGTTTGGACCTTCCCTTCCTCCAGGCCTGTCCCTGTGGCCTTCAAAGGTTTGGCCTTGCCTAAACGCTCCTGTTGCTCTTTCATCTGCTTTAATTTGAAACGGGGCCTACCATTCACCTGAGAAGGGTTGTCTGGAATCTTGGCATCCTCTTGAAAATCAGGCGTTTGGAGAATGTCACACACGTTCTTGGGAATTAAAGGCTTACGGCATCGCACAGGGGAGCATTCAGCAGCAGGCTTTTTAGAAGGCTTGGCATTTCCCTCAGCTGGCAAGATGATCTGAACCTTACACAAAGGGTTGTCAAAACTTGATGAATGGCTGCCCTCTTGATTCTCTAAAGTGGGCTTCTCATTCGGCTTGACCATGTGAAGGCTTTCCACCTCAACCTGGGCCAAATTCTTCACCCTTTTGACATGGGGCTCACTGCCAATGGAGCCAATGCTAGCCAGTTTGGAAGCAGCCAACTGGGAATCTCTCTGAAGGCTCATGATTTTCTTGAGCTGAGCTTCTTTAACTTCCAAGGAGATCTCTAGCGGAGCCAACCTCACTGGTCTTTTCATGGCAAGATTATCCATGCTTTGAGCATCTGCTGAATAAAATGGTTTGGGGAAAGTAACACCATCTTTGGCGACTTTTCCAGCAAGGGGTTTTGTCTCTTCTTTGAGTACTGTAGTGTCTGCAAGGTTGGGAGCAGAATGGTGGAAGCTGGCAGACCTGAGAACCTTCTCTTTCTTCTTTCCAGGCAATATTACGGTAGTTTTCTTATCAGGTTTCAGGTTCATCACAGTAACTTCACTAACTGTGCAGTTGAACATCTTTTCATCAGCTGCCGGAGCACCCTGAAAGAAGAATGAATATGTAGATGTTTAGTGTGGTGCATGAATTCAAAAGTTTCTTTATACAAATGGACTTTCCCCTCCAGAAAACTAGCCGCTTTCATCTTAGCTCTGTTCATTTATTTACAGAACAAACAACAGAAATATTGGCTTCTGACCCAGTTTGGAATGAAGAGAAATTCACAAATCACAGACTTGCCTAGGAATCCTTGAATTCACTACCACAAGATTTGGTGGTGACCCTGTGCTGAGATCAGTGGTTCTCAATGCATGTCACACAGGAAAGGCTGGCAAGTGTGGTGAGAAGATTGAAGGACAATCAAAGAAACATTTAAATATTTTAGTGTAGCATAGTATAGTATCATTTTTTTTTTGCAGAATATGGATAGATAAATGTTCAAAATGAGAGCAAGAGCAAGAGCATCAAGTGATAGTAGTTGTGGTCTTTTTGCTTTCCAATGTATTTTTTGTTTATAATTTTTATTAAGGATTTTCTGAACATTTCCCAAGATAATAATGCCCACTCATCACATTATAAAGAGCTTATAACCCACCTACTCTCAGCAGTCAGAAGCATCATAGCCAGACATTGGAGAGACATGTCAGGACTGAACATGGACCACTGGTACCAAATCATACGGAAAACAGCCTTATTAGAAAAGCTAACCAACAGACTAAAAATGACACGGGGACAAAAAAAAGAGGACGCCTTCACCCTGGTATGGCTTGCCTTTATTACATACACAGCCCAGCAAGACAACAACAAGAACCCACCAACAGCATACAAATCAGTCTGGCTAGCTTTCCAATGTATTTCTTATCAATAAAACATTCAATGTGACATGAGCAAATTTTTATTCTGAACGTGTGACCCATTGGGGGGGGGGGGGAGAGAATTAAGAACCACTGGCTTAGATGGGATGGATTTAGAATAGGGTTAAGAGAAACTGATCTCCCAATGGTTATTAGTCATATTGGCTCTATACTAGGTCTGTGACCAGAACCAGCCAAATCCCAGACCCTGAACCAAAATGGATTGATTTAAATTGAGCCCAGAGTGCATTGGGTGCAGCCCCATTTTGCCCATATCAGATCAGGCCCATTCAAAGTGATTCAAAGCTGTCAACGAGGAGAGAGAGGAAGGAGATGTGCAGACAGTCTACATGTGTCTCCTCCTAACCACACCACATGTTTTATCAAGGTTTTTTAAAACATACAATCAGGAAAGGATGAAATACCTGTCTGCTTCTCTTTCCTTCCCAACCACATGAGTGTACAAGCCCCACAATTGGTTTTCGGCTTGCTCAACATGAGCAAGCAAAGTGGCTTCTCACCCTAGTTACCTGCCAGTTAAATCCTCCTGAAGTCTTGTGCTAATTCACTTAACCTCTCTTGAGCTATAAGCACAGCATTTTGCTCTTCCTGCACATGTTAGTTTAGAGTCTCTCTGAATACTCAGCTACTCTGATACTTTTGATTCAACTACTTTGTAGGTTCCTCTGTTTGGCCGTAATTCTCCCATGCACATTGGAAATGGTGGCAAGTCCAATGTACCCAGTACTTACAGGAGAATTCTTGTACAGGGATCACTTTGTATTTGCAGACTGTTAAGAAAACAGCCTCTGCACATATATGTGAAATACTCTTTGTCTCTGAATGTATGCACAGTACTGCAAATGTGGCACAGATGATAGGTTTGGCAGCTGATTTGTATCAGACACTATTCCCACAAGTATAATGTGTGCCCAAGCATTTACTTCTGCAAGACTGTTGTAAGCTATATCCTCAGTGCCACCCAGTGAGTTGCCACAATAAACATTGTATATAGTGCATTGATCCTGTTCGCACATGCACGCTCTTTCGATTACTGCACAATAATCACAGGTTTCTTGCTTGTGTGAATTAGCCGTTCCAAATCTGATACTTCAGGCAAAGCACAGAGCTTCTTCACTGGAGGCAATTCACACATTCATCTATGAGCCATTTTGTTGTCAATAACTTGCATGCACATTAGTGGGACATTTATCTCCTTGCCTTCATGTGAAATAGTAAGGTGTTGAGATTAAGATAGCGTGATAGGTAATGGGGGCAAGCAGCTTCATGGATAAAATCTTACAGCTTATCCAGAGTTAAGCTGTCCTCAGAGAGCAATTTATCCCAAGTTTAAATCCAACTTAGTTTGAAGTCCTCAGTCTGCCCTGAGTCAGCAGGCGCTTTGTCTCTTCTTAATGACTCATTGCTCAAGGCCTAGTTCAGTCAATAAGTGTGCTTGTGTACACTGCACAAATTACATTAATGCTCTCCTCCATACTGAAAGGAGTGTTGACGTTGTCTTACATGCAAGTCAATGGTTTGTATCTCTCTGAAACAAGCCACCAGAACTAGCCAAGAACACATATACATCAGCACACCTGCTTGTTCCCCGTAGTTTGTTTAACTATAGCTTACCACCATGTGAGAACCAGGCTGTAATGTGATGCAAACAGGCCATCAGACAATCTATGTCTGACCTTCTTATATTCATGTGCCTTCCCCAATTAATGGAGATATCTTGAGTTTGCATCTCTTCCTTCATTGTTTTCTAATTCCTTCTCTTTTCCTTCTCTATCTACTTATGTGATAGGTCTACGGGACAAAATATCTTGTAATTCATTCTGTGGTTTACATTGCACATCAACTTTTTAGGCACATGAGAAATAATCACCAATACATCATCACATTGATCCCTTTCATCCCCATCTTGCTTTCTGTAGGTATTGATCAACAGTTCATCTCCCACAGCTGCCACCCAAATTAGCAATGTTGGATTAGGAATGCCCCAGATAGGGAAACATTGCTGGGAATTTCAAAGGAAACTGAAATAATGTTGGTATGATTTCAGAAATTCTGCAGAGTAGTCCACAACGCTTTAGAGTGATTTTGATTTGCTTTCCCGAATTAGACATACAGTGGTACCTCGGGTTAAGTATTTAATTCGTTCCGGAGGTCCGTTCTTAACCTGAAACTGTTCTTAACCTGAAGCACCACTTTAGCTAATGGGGCCTCCTGCTGCCACTGCACTGCCGGAGCACAATTTCTGTTCTCATCCTGAAGCAAAGTTCTTAATCTGAGGTAATATTTCTGGGTTAGCGGTGTCTGTAACCTGAAGCGTATGTAACCCGAGGTACCACTGTATAGAGAGTATGTGGAACAAGTGTGATCTTCAAATCATTGGACCTTCCCACGAAATATTCAAACTGTGTTCATAGCTGCTGCATAGCTTTCTACAAAATCAAGTACAACCCTTACATAACTGTTACATAATAAGGCAATTGGAAGCCTTAAATTAGCTTTGGTTATTCCACTCAAAATAATGCCCAACTGGTTCCCACTCATTCTTAATCCCTATGTGTCCTTGAGCAAGCCACGTAGGCCAAAACCTTTGAGCTTCAGCATATCAGGGTCAAAGTTGCCAGTAATGAATATCCCCAAGTAAGCTTCTGAGTTCACATTTAAGCTTCTAAAACTAGCTTCACTTTCATTGCTAATTGATTGTCCCTTTGAAACTATTCATGTCTCTATATGAATTAAGGACTATGCTGTCTAACTTTGGACAATCTAACTTTAGGCCTCGTGTTGCCATCTGAACTTTCCGTAACTATATATAAATGAACTGTATTTCATAAGACTTCTGTACCTATTGATTAAAGGAAAAGGCTCATATCTGAATCCGTGTCTGAATAATGAAATAATGTGGGGCATTTACAGAACCCCCAAGTGAGCATATGAACAGATCAAGTTTAAGGCTGTGTGATTGTGTGCAGTTCTGCTCACATCACCTGAGAAAAGGATGTTGTGGAGCTGAAAATTTTCAGAAAAGGAAAACCAAAGAGGATGGAGTAACGTCTCTATGCATAAAGTTTGCAGTATTGGAGCCTTCTTGGTTGAGTAAGGTGAGTATAAGTGGGGAAATGATTAAGGTGCCTAAAACTTAGTTTGTGAAGATAGTGGAGAGGAAAGCTTTTCTCCCTTTCTCATTACACTATAACTCAGAGCTATCCAGTGTGAAAGAAAGTTCTTCTTCAAATAGTGCATCATTAAACTATTGAACTCAATCCTACAGGAGGCAGTGAAGACCACCAACTTGGACAACTTCAAAAGAAGATTAGACAAACTCATGCAGGATAAAGCAATTGATGTTCTACAGTCCCCATCAAAGGTAGTGTGCTTTTGAATACTAGTTCCTAAGAATCACAACTGGGAAGAGTGCTGTTGCACTGTGGTCCTGCTTATAGGTTTCCCATTGGCAGCTGGTTGGCCACTGTGGGAACAGGAAGCAGAACGAGATAGGCCTTTGGTCTGCTCAAGCAGTTAAGTTCTTGAGGTTAATTTAATATACATTCTCAAAACAATGGTAGCACATGATAGCTAAGGAAATGGCCAGACAATATAGAGAAGTAACTTAAGGGGAGAACATTGTGGTAGGTATACCCGGACTATGTAATCTTGATAAGGATTGAAGATTCCCAAAACTCATTCCATGAAAAATGTGAACAATTCTTGTATAGTATATGCATGATTATATTATTATGTTGCACAAATATTTAATGCATATATATTCCAGCTGTCCTAATAAACTGATTACTTTGCAACAGTGCATAAGACTGTCTAAAAACACATATACAGATTTATGCTGCAAAAAAATATAGTAGAACATGGGGACTGGCTCTTTTATCTATATTATACATATAATATACATTTATGCGTATAATTTTCCATATAGATAGGTGGGTTGTCATTTTTTAAAAAAATGTAGAAGTGGCTTGGTTATAAGTGGGTACTCATTGCAAGCCACTGTCCAGTGATGAGGTTCGAAGCGCCAAAACCTATGTATAAATCCATTTAAAATGGATTACTCCATCACTAAGCTTGACATTGCATGTTTACAGAGATGTTAGTTCTATGGAACTCAATGGAGATCACACCCTAGGAAGTGTGTT